GTAGAAATTAAAAAGGAATTCAGCTCCAGGTATGTATGGCTAATTTTGACCTTTGTAAAATCACCTTGTTTGGTGTACAAATATTTGGTATGTGATATCTACGTGGATTATTTGTGAAACTAAATTCTTGTGATTGGTATGTGTTTACTTATGCGGAATATTTGTGAATTCATGTGATTAATGTGCCTTGAACGTTGTTGGTTAAGTCTTCCGATATAATAGTGCAAGTAAATGGCAACTAACCAAATGTGTGTGTGTGAATGTGGTTGTGTGGTAAGAGCTGTGTAACAAATGATGGAAAGGAATCGTAATTGATGCAATTAAAGCAACTGTGATAATATCATATGTGGCTTATCGTGGGCAATTATCGTTGTGACTTAAATTGTACATTGGGCTGTTGAATAAGATAGAAATGGCATTGATGGTTATGGAAATACTTTGTGAATTGTGCTGCTATTCCTTGAGAATTGTTGTTGTTGTCCTTGTGAATTGTTGTTGTTGTTGTGTTGCTTGTGAATTGTGATTGTTCGGTGGGATCGGGTTGCGCGCCGCAACATGAAGTAATAAGGTGTGGGTTGTGGTGATAAGGGTGGCCGAGTAATAAGGGTGGCCGAGGTAATAAGGGTGGAAAGTGATCGAACTCATTATTGAAATGAAAATATAAGAATGTTGTGAAATCATTGATGTGAAAATGTTGAAAGGGGAAATGGAGAGATTGTAAACTTGTTTGGCTTGGTTGTTTCCTTTCATGTGTATTTGATTGTTGATTCCATTACTACTTGTTACTTGTGTATGGTTTGAGTTTGCTTAGGGCAAAGTTTGTTCATACATACCAGTACAATTAAAAATGTACTGACCTCCCTTTTGCCGGGGGCGCTACATTCGTGTTATGATTGTAGGTGGATCCATAGCAGGTACTCCAGTCCACCGACCGTAGCTCCCTTTTCACTTTCCGTCAGCTGTATTGGTGAGTCCCTTTCCTCTTGGGGCCCTGCGTGGCTCATGCTGCTTTTATTCCGGAGTCATGTTTCGGGTAGTTGTGTAAGGTATAGCCGGAGCCTTGTTACCGGCAAGTATTATATTATCCTTTGTATCCTTAAAGGCTCCGTAAACAGTAAATGTGGGTTATGAACTTATGTAATTGTATGTCGGGCGATGTAAGTTGTAAACTTTGTTAAGTGACTAAGTATGTTGTGTATATTTTGAAAAAGGTGATTTCAATTAAAAACTTGTTAATTCCTTGATTAATGAGTAATGAAAATACGGGGTAACACGTGGGGTAGGAAAGGCACCCAGGTCCGCTTGACTGGGGCTACCCGGTCGGGTGCCGGTCATGTCCCTCGGTTTGGGGCGTGACACCAAGGTCATAGCGTGAGAAACATGGTATCAGAGCCTATAGTTTTAAAGTTTCCTAGTATGTCTCTGAGCCATCTCTAGTAGTGTTATTCTTATCGGTATGTTGTCAACCACATCTATAATTAGGAGCCTACTTGGGAATTTAGGAGTAACACCATTCTTTGATGGTCTAGATCGTGTGATAAAGTTGATTATAAGACTGTTCCTTCTTTAACTCGTAGCAGTGCTCTGATTTTCAGTACATGGTGCCTAGGAAAAAGGTAATAACTGGCCAGGCTCCAACCTATGAGTAGCAGCTGATTCTGTACCTGATGATATGGGTGAGCACCCGAGGGGTGATGATATTCCCCCAACTACTACAATACCTGATTCTACTACTCCTACTCAGACTGCACCAATTCCTATGTCTACTAAGGGTGCAATGATTCCTCCAGCTGATATTGCAGTTCCACCTCAAGCCCCAACTTCTGGTCCCAGTGTTTCTGAGGGGGGCCATAGGGAAGGCGTACAAATGTTGTCTCAGATAGTGGCTTCCCAGGCCCAGATATTGAATGTTGCGCCTAATTCTTCTGGCCAGCCATGGGATTTTTCTACATAAAGGGTGAACATGTTTTTTCAGTTAGATCCTCAAGTGTTCATGGGTACTAATCCGGAGGAGGACCCCCAGGACTTCATTGATGAGATGCACAAGACCTTTCGAGTTATGCGTGCTACTGAGACGGAAGTAGTGGAGTTAGCTTCCTACTGTCTGAATATGGAGGCATATTCATGGTTTGAGCTGTGGGAGGCGACTCGTGATGAGGGGAGCCCTCCGGCAAAGTTGGGTGAGTTTGCCGATGCCTTCAATAATCATTTATTGCTTGCCGAGACCAAGGACGCTTGTGCCGCTGAGTTTTAGAGCCTGAGGAAAGATAGCTTCAGGGTGTGGGAGTACAGTTGAGATACGCGGGCCTGTCCAAGTATGCTATTTACATATTGCCTGTAAGCACGTGATTTTTGCCCTATACAAAATACTCCTACAAAATCCAAAAAAGTAGATTTTTCTGATTATTTACCATTTCATAGGATTTTGTAGAATTTTTATCTTGTGCACGTTTAAGTCATAAAAAAATATCAAAAATATCATGCGTGGCATTTAGATTTTATTTTTATATTTTTAGGACTAATCGGAAGTTATTGGATTTATAATAATGGAAAATCACAAAAATACTTCATTTTTACACTTTTGCCTTTTATTTTTAGGTTATTGATTTTTTTCTTTTGATTTAGGATTAAATAGCTTTTATAGTTTTTGTAATTAGTTAATTAGTTCAATTTCACATTTTTAGATAATCTAGGATTTTAATTTCTAGGATTTTAATAAGAAAAAGAAGAAAAAGAAAAGGAAATAAGGAGTTTATTTAATCGGGTTTAAATTCGGAACTTGGGCCATTTTAAAGCCAAAATGAGCCCAAATAAATAGCACCTAAAATCTGTCCAACCCAAGCCCAATCTTCCTACCCAAATATCCATTACCGTTTACCCTACCGCTACCTATAAAATGACAATTTGGAAACCAAAAGATGGACCTCACCCGGAGCAAATACCAAAAGTGGCGCAAAAATCCCCTCCACCAACGCCGTTGCTTTCTCCATCTTCGCTCTCTCCCCTGTTCGTCCTTTTCATTTTCCCCATGTAAAGATCCCTCATAACAAAAGAAAACAAAGCTAAAAGTTCTGGATTCAAAAAATCCGAGTTCAAAAACAAAACCATAAAAAAGGGAAAAGTAATTAGGTGTTTAGCTTTCTGGATTTTCGTTTTAAAAGGGATTCTCAAGGTCGCAGCTGCTGCTTTAGTTGATTTCCGCTGCATTAGCTCCTAAATTTCTGGGTGTTTGAGTTTTACTTCGGATTCGAAATTTGAAGCTATGGGCTGTTTCTTCTATTGCTGAGCTCCAACTAGTAGATTTTTAGTCTTTATTTGGCTATTTTAAGCTGTGTTGCCGCAAAACTAGGTACACACCAAAGATCTCTATCCCTACTTGTTGGAATGATCAAATTAATTGATTTATGATGGAATATCTTCTGATTTTATGTTTGTTTTGTCACTAAATGGTTTGGAACTTATGTCTGAAATATGCTGATTCCGGACAACATGAAATTCAGCTTGATAAATTCCCATATTTTACGTGACTCAACTGTATTTGATGCTAAGTTACTGATTGTTCGAACTAGCATATATGAATAAGAAGCCATGGTGTATTGAATCATTTATTTCTGCAAAAAACTAGCCGCGATTCAAAAGTTTGGCCTCCTGAAGATATAAGTTCAAATGTGCAGTTATGTTGTCAATTTCTCAGGGATAGCAATACCTTTGTAATTTGTTGTATTTACACGGTACCTAACTTCGGTGGCTTGAAAAATCATCCTAAGATCCCCGGCCTTTAGTCTTTGTGTTGAAACGATATCATATCATTCTGTCCCATTTGGTATGACTAATATTTTCTCCAATTGAAGCTATCTCCTGACATGCTTATGTGATTTTGGGATAATTGTTAAAATCAAAAACAGGTTCTTCCTAATAATTACATGTAGTGTCGTGTGTGAGATTTTGAAAGCTTGTTATGAATCCTTATTTCTTTCCTTTGCACCATCTCATGGAATTTGTCATTCATTGTCATTTGGGTCTTAGTTTATTAATATTGAGTTTGATGAGCTTTAGTTTCGTGGGTAAAAAATCTGAAGTTGCAAGATTAGTGTTTTGTTTGGGCTGGTTTTGAAGTTTACCTTGCTTATTGGGCATGTTCATTTAATCACTTTTGTTTATTGAGTTGGCCTAGTACCTAGTAATTCCAAATAAGCCGATTCCCATTTTTGAAGGGTTGTTATTCCAGCCTCTTTCTTTGAGACCGTATGGAGAAATGGTACAATTATTCTGTCATAAATTGGTTTGCTTGAATGTTTTGTTTTAAAAATCGTTTCTTTTCGATATTTTGTGCCCAACTTCCAAATGAATCCTAGTGCGTAAAGAATCCACAGAAGTGCCTATTAATTCTTGTCCATTTAGCCACAAACAAATTCCATACTATGAGAACTTTCACATGATTTCAAATTAGTTTTGGAAAATAATTATGAACATCCGTAGCTTGCTTTAGTTGAGTACAATCCTTTGAAATTAGAATCGAGGTGTGCCATTTAGCAAATTTCCGTGGCCCTCGCAAAGTTAAAACGCGTATTTGCTTTAGGCGCGTATTTTAATAATATTACCTTCCTAAATACGGGTGCACATTTATGTGACCCAAATCAAAATCTCAACGAAGTTGAAATGTGCCAAAAATCACGGGCGTACTGGTGCGACATGGTTCGAGATACATTTTCACGACGTTGCAATTCTTATAAAAAATATAAAAATAAAAGCAGGTTACTAATAAAAGGCACATAAGTTAAAACATGTATTAAAATTAAATTTTTAGCCAATTATAACAATTTAAGCGACCGTGCTAGAACCACGGGATCCGGGGGTGCCTAACACCTTCCTTCAGGTCAACAGAATTCCTTATTCAGAATTTCTGGTTCCCAGACTCCAATTGGGAAGTCGAAATCTTTCCTCGATTTGGGATTCAAACTTAAACCGGTGACTTGGGACACCAAAAGCCAATCTTATCCCAAGTGGTGACTCTAAAACAAAAAAATAATCCTATTTCGAATAATGTCACTTTAAATGAAAAAACTCCCTTATGCATTTATCCTTCGAGGTAGGTGCGTAAAAAGGAGGTGTGACATTGCCCACTATGAAGGCTAGAGTGCGCCGGTTTGTGCACGGCCATAGCCCCTTGGTTATTAATGAGGTTGCAACAACCATTAGGGTATGATACACAGTGTTTGGGAGGACCCGATTGTGTCTATGCTATGAGGGGTTGCTAGAGTTCTTAGGCTTCTCCAGATGTTGTCATCGGTACATTGATTGTCTAGTCTCATGATGTATATATCCTTATTGATCTCGGTTCCACTTTGTCATATGGCACTCCTTATGTTGCTATGGATTTTAGGATAGAACCGGAACAGCTTCACGAGCCGTTCTTCGTATCTACTCCGGTTGTTGAGTCTATTGTGGCTGTGTAGGTTTATAAGGATTGTGTCGTTACGATGCATGGATGAGACACCATGGCTCTCATTGAATTTGGGATGGTTGATTTGATGTAATAACGGTGATGCACTTGCTTTATTCATGTTTTTCTAAGCTTTATTGTTGAACCAGAATCGTTAGGTTTGAACTTCCAAATTAGCCAATTAGTGAATGGAAATGGGATGATGTTGTGTCGGAGGGTAGGTTTATTTCTTACCTTAATGCCATGAAGACAATGAGCAAGGGGTGTATTTACCATTTGGTCCGAGTTACGGACACTGATGCTAAGGCACCTACACTTGAGTTTGTGCCAGTGGTGAATGAATTTTTGGAGGTCTTTCCTGATGAGCTGTACGGGATTCCACCAGACATGGAGATTGATTTTAGGATTGATGTGATGCAAGACATGCAACTTATATCTACATTGCCCTACATAATAGCACAAGAAGAATTGAAGGAACTAAAGGAACAATTGAAGGATTTGTTAGCTTATTTTTATGCTTCACCCCCGTATCCTTTGTGTTGATAAATTTTGGCTACTACGTTTGCGCAAGCCTTGGCGATGGAGTGAGGATGAGATCGCCTCCTGACGGCGAGGTGGAGACTTCGGAGCCTGTTAAGGGCAGGAAAAGGAAGAATATGGAGGCTCCTGATTCTATTGCGGCAGTGAAACCTAAATCACGCAGGCCTCGAGCTACTGCCAGGACCTTGGCTTCTGCTTTCGGAGAAAGTCATAGCACTGGGGATGAAGACGATGATGAGGGCGAGTACCGTTTGGTACAAAAAATGAGGTCGGGCGCGGATGTCCTGCAGGTGTCCTGACTGGAGGCCGTTGAATCGAGAACGGTCGATTCCGATCGATCCCGTGTGATGGAGACCCTCGAGGAGGGTGCGAATGCCGTCTGTGAGCCCCTGGCCGGATGTGGTGCAGTTCCCGCTGGAGAGAACGTTACTGCTAATCCCAAAGGGTCTGGGCCCGGAGCTTTTCGGGGGCAGGATTTGCCCCTAAGATATATCGATGCCCTGAGTGGCCTTAATTTGGGTCCTCAGTTCTCGTCCGGGGAATTGTAGGACACTCCGAACCCGAATGTTGCTAATGTGGGGGGTCCTCTCAAGGGGAGAGATGAGATCGGTAACTTCCTTGATGATGTCAGCGTGGATAGTGACCTCGATACTCCCAGTGCAATCGAGGCAGTGGAGATGTTCCAGCGGCAGGTGATATCTGTTCATGTATATTTTTTTGTCTCAAGCATTTTTCCTTGTTTTTCTGACTCTTCTGTTTTGCCGTAGTCTAAGGAGATGTATGATCACGCCCTCTCTAGGCTCCAAGAGGAGCTTTTATGTCATGGAAGGGAGCTCGAGATGCTCACATCGGGACTGCAGGAGTCGGGGGCCTCATCTGCCCGAAAGGAGAAGGAGTTAAGCGAGCTTCGGGCAGCTTTGGAGGGAGTGCTCCGAGAAAAGGCTGATATTGCTAAGCAGGTAATTTGTTATTCATAAATTTGTTCTTCGTTCTCATAATTCGATATTTACTGACATATCTTTTCCTTCACAAATCGGGCAGAAGAATGTGGAGATCCTCGAGCCGAGGAAGCGAAATGAGGTAGTGACCTCGGAATTGGCATCAACCCATTTTTTTTTCGAAAATGCTCGAAAAGAGATTGATGCGCTATCTGCGGCAAAGTCCGAGGTCGAAGATAAAGTTGCTACTTATCTGAAGGACGACGCCACTACGAATCAAATAGCCCTAGATATATCAGTGGAGGCCGAGCAAAAGCTGATTCGGACTAGTGCCAAGGCGAGAAGGCAGGCCTTAGAGGAAGCCAGTGCCAAAGGGGCCGATCTCTCAGATGAGATTGAGAAGACCCGAGAGTCAGAGGATGAATTGGTGCTCTTAGTTGCTTTGGACGAAAGTCCAGGAGACGGTTCAGAGGGTAGTGATAATGAAGAGTAGGCCTGCGTCGTCTTTCTTTTTCTTTTTTCTTTTTGTGTATGTATTCCTAGAGAAACAAGTTTTGTAAAGACGCCCCTTGTAAATATATTTTTTGGCAATGCAAGAGAATTTTTCTGCTTCAAGTCTTTCCATTCATGATATTCCAGCGTTTATGCGGAGTTATCCTTCAAATTTTGAAGTTGGCACTTAAGATATCATATTCGGAGTAATCAGGGCCCTAGAGATCTGGTACCGTCACGAAATTAGGCCGATAGCTCCTTTGGGCCGATGCTTATGATAGCAGCGAAAATCGGGCTCTTAAATACCTCCCGAACACCGTGTGATAGCATCATTCTGCGGCGTGATAGTGGGGCCCCCGGGATGGTCCTGCCAGTACATTTCCCAAAAAGTGGGTCTATCATGGCCAGACATAATTGGTCTTCTGGATAGGCGAACAGTCGCCGCTTGCCTTTATAAATGCACTAGCTCATTTCTTAACTAGAGGCTTTGCTACTCTGGCTAACTATTTCCTTTATAGAGTTTTTGTTTTTTTACGCTAGTTCTCTCGTTGTTTCAACTCAAAGCCTTCGTCCAAATCTTCATCCTCCTCTTCAAATTTTACCGTAGCCATGGATGCTACATCGATATCCGCCCATCAAGGAGAGGGGGGTTCTGCCTTTATTCCGTGTTCGGTCGGTGGTACACCGCCGGTATCCGGTGAGAGGGCCTCGAGGTGATTTGTCTCGAGGAGAGACTTTACGTTGGAGAGACCTCCCAACGTTCAAGGGCGTCTGGAGAATGCTTCGAGGTTTGTCTCCTCAATAAGGGAGGAACACCTCGAGATGATTAGGAGAGACTGCTGATGGGGGGAAGCCGTGGTACTGCAGGTACCTTCCCCGAAGGAGAGCATCACGACCCATGTCGAGGGGTTTCTAAGTGTGTATACGTATCCTTTTACGTTGGGTACCCCGATAGGGTCGTGCTGGAATTCTGTAGGAGGTATCAGGTTACCTTGGCGCAAGCTCACCCATCCTTTTGGAGGATAATGCTGATGATAAGATACTTTGCGGATAAGGCCGGGCTTGAATTAACCCTTAGCCATCTTGTTAGGTAATATCGGCCTCTGCATTACCGGGGCTTGATTACTCTACGACGTTTATCCACCCGGTCCCCTGCCGCTAGCGATGGAGAGGATGAGGGTCGAGGGTGGATGAGCCGATTTGTTCGAGCACGGACAATCAATATCATCCCTGGAGAGCTTTTGCCATTTCCTAAGAAATGGAATTTCACACATAATTGGTATACCTATATTTTTATCGTTTTGCCCATAGTGCAGGTCGGATCCTTAATGACTTTTTTTCATTTTACTTTCTTTAGCGATTCCCTGGCTGTCGGACAAGGTTCCTGACCTGGCAGAATAGTCCCGTAAACTAGCAGCTTGCTCGACTTACAATAAGCGCAAATGGCGAGACCTGTCCAAGTGGTGATGGGAAGAAAAGCATCATGGTAGGTGTTCAGTGGCTCATTTCCTTAGAAAATGTACTTTCTTTTTAGCGCGCTAAATCTCCCGCCACAGGTTTCGGAGATTTTTTCGAGATGAGGCCGTGCCCCTGGGGAGGAGGAGAGATTTTCGACCTCGAGTCTAGGATCGATAATAAACGAAAAGAGTCTCTGAGGTGTGAGGATGCTCACGGCGGGGCGAGTGCTTCTCTGAGGTTCAAAGGAGGCGAGTCGGCCGATCTTCCGACTTTGGAGGCCTCTATTTTTTAAAGACCATTTCCCGTTCCTGTCGAAGGTACTTCGAGGGTTAAGGGTCATGCGATACCTTCCTCTTTTCCTACCTATGGAACTTCGCGAGGGACTAGGCCGTCGGAAGTAGGCACTTCCTTTGGTGAGGGCTATCGATTTTGGAGTTTCCGACCTAGAGGTTATGTGGCCTTGAGTTTTCGACGCCAGTCCTCGAGTGCTCGGGACGCTTTTTGCTTTGGAGTCGTTTTGTGACTTTTATGTTGCCTCATTGAGGGCTTATTAGTTTGGAACTACGACCGGAGGTCATTCAAGCTTTGTATTGTTGACGCCAGTCCCTGAGTGTTCTGGGCATTTTTTGGCTTTGGAGCCGTTTTGCAAAAATGCCGAGTTTCTTTGAAACGCGAAATGCTTCGGAAAGTATTCTTTTGATTACTTGGTGTAAGTATACATTTTTTTGCTATTAAGGGCTCGGTTATTCTATGCGGACACGGCTCGTTCGACCATTTGGCATGGTACATTATCTTCCTATCGAGACCCTGTTCAGCACATCTTAGCTTTTTCGAGGAGGCGATCTTTTGTGGGAATGCCCCAAGTATTTGAGGTTGATTTAAAAAGAAGCCTTCAATACTTGTTTGGTCTTTCGTAGGTAGCATCTAGATGTTTCCTCGTTAAAAACCTTATCGGTAAAACCCTTCTCGGGATAAAACCCGATCGAAGGAAAAAAGTCCCACGTGTGCTTTTTTGGAACCTAAGGCCTTCGAGTTGGGAAGCGCTCCCGCCGTTTCGATCCGATGCCTGCGTTCAAGTTAGAATAAAATATAACTGAAAAAGGGAGATCACTACACCTTAGTGCTGACGGCGCTTCAGACCTCGATGTGATTCGATCGTTTGTTACGAGGACTCGGTACGGTCCTTCGTTTTGTTCAGTTGGACGTAGCCGAGAATGTAACTTGTTATCGCTATGTCATTGCTTACTTACCCTTCGTCCCCTTTGACGGTGGAGATATTGGCATTTTGGGTTGTGTCAGCCACATTGACTGGTATGGTGGTTTTCATATGCCGTGTTGAATCCGTTGAACACTCGAGGGGCGGGCATATTTTGGTCAGGCAGTCCAAGCTGCTCTATCACCCTTGACCTGATAATATTGGAAGAGCTACCTGGACCCACAAGCACAAGTTTAATTTGAAATGTATCCACAAGAAAAGAAGTTACCAATGTGTCATTATGAGGCTCAGATAGAACCTCGAATTCGCTTTTTCCTTGTAAGGGATATTTTTATTCTCCTGACTGTGGGCTCTTGCAGGGCGCTGACACATTTAAAAATCATATAAGTGACATGTTGTGGCTCATTTGCTTCGTTCTTCTTGGTCTCTTCTCTTTCCCGGAACTGATTTTTTGCTAGGTCGCTGAGGAATTCCCGGAGGTGACCTTTGTTGAGTAGTCGGGCTACCTCTTCCCAGAGTTGTCGGCGATCTTCAGTCCTGTGACCGTGTGTGGTGTGAAATTCACACACTAAGCTATGGTACATTTGTGAAGGATCTGATTGTACGGGCCTTGGCCACCTGGTGTGTCACGCCCCGAACCTGGGGAGGCATGGCTGGCACACGGTACCGTAGTGGCCCGAGCGAACCACTCTGTAACTCATTCATTCATTTTGTAACTATCATGGGCCAACATGGCCACAACTCGGAATGTACAACTGCAAGTGAAAAAAACACTATTTTGTTGAACTATTTTTCTTAAAACATGAATACATATGGGTCGAAGACCTCTCACATACTGTACAAAATGAATATTTGTTTACAAAGCCTCTAAAATTATTCAACATTATGTGGGATAGGATACCGACCTACCCATAAGTCTGTAGATAAACTCTGACACGATGACTCATAGACTCGGCTGCACTCCGAATGAAGTGGAGTCTTACCGATCTTTCGCTGAACGCAGACCTCGTCTACTGTGAGGGTTCGTCAATCTGATTATCTATTCCTGCAGGCATGAATGCAGCGTCCGCAACAAAAGGATGTCAGTACGAATAATGTACTAAGTATGTAAGGCAAAATTGAAACATAACAGTAAGTCAACATTAATTAAAGACATAGAAGAAATATAAAGTAAATGGCTCACCCTGCAAATCTGAATAGCTCTGTAAATCATGAAATATTTATAATGTCATGCTTATGCGTATAAATGTCATGTAATGCATAGGTCTGTATGTACATTACATCATAAAGCCTCTGAGGGCATCCCATTCTATCATCCCAGCCACTGTGGGCAAAATCATCATCGTATACTAGCTGATCAGGTGGTGGTGCGTATATAACGCCATAACCTTTTCTATGTCCCATATACATATATACACATACATATATACGCGTATATAACGCCGTTTGAATCATATTTCAGCCACTGTGGGCAACATTATCATCGTATACCAGCTGATCAGATGGTGGTGCGTATATAACGCCATAACCTTTCCCATGTACCATATACATATATATACATACATATATACGGGTATATAACGCCATCTGGTCACGAATCAATGTACACGAATGCAATGCATGAAAAGTAAGTTAATAAAATCTTTCGGAATTGTCATAAGACCATTTAGCCTTTGAGTAATATCATAAAGTAACATCTTTTCAACTTTCGTACTTTTCTGAGACCCATGAACAGATGAAAAAAATATTATGACACATGAAATTTTAATAGCATAGATATTTCTAATACTTCTATGAATAGAGTCATTTATGGAATTTGTGTATTTGCACGTTTCGTTCGTATCGTATGGATCATGCCAAAAGAAAGAAGGGATAGCCTTAATATACCTGAGACGATTCTCTCAACAATTCTTCTAACACCGTTAACTGCGTAACAGCGGATCAAAGTAGAAAAAAAATACAAAAGCCAACCTATTACGAACAGATTTATGACATGAGTCTTTCATCTATGGATACCGTGTTGAGCTTGAATCATTTCATGTACGATTTGAGGTGAGCTTGGCATAATATCCATGGAAATAGATGCAAAATAACAACTCAATGTCAGCATGCTAGTAGTACTTCAACACCATATCATAAGCCTACAACACATGGTGTTGGCCACCAATTTTGGGTAAATGGTAACAAATGTGACCCAACATCTGCTGCTAGTGATCTTGGCCATTCCTTATGCATGAATAGAGAAGGGCGGGTAGAGCTTTCCACTTCATCCATTTGTATATTTTACAAGACAACACAATCCTTACATGGTCTGTTGCTAATAATTCCAAAATGAATTCTTGACTAAGAGTTGCTGAACCTTCGTAACTCCTTCACACAAAATATAGTGTGTATAATATATTTTGCATTTCCAAAATGAAAGCAAAAGGGTCATTAAAGGTATGGCTTCCACCTGGCCATGAATTGGCGGTGGAAGTCTTATCTTTTGACAACTAATGCTTACTAATATAAAGACATCACCCTACCTACTTATCCCAATCTATTGTACATAATGTGCGTGTATATATATCACAAGGTTATCCTTTTTTTTGTTTTTTGCGTCATGCTAATAAAATTTCAATAACTTGTAATATATATATATATATATATATATATATATATATATATATATATTAATATATTGGTTATACAACTATTATATACTNATATATATGAACTATTTACTTTATTGTCAGATATTTTGTCAGTTAGCCATATAATAATTTCTAAGTCTCATCTCATTTAAATACTAATATACTTCATATATCTTACTATCATGGTCAGGCGGTACCATATAAAATAAATACATACACTATTATTTCGTTAAAGTATCCGTATATATATATATATATATATATATATATATATATATATATATTCTCAACTTATAATCTTCCTAATCTCATATAAAGAGTAAAAATTCTCATACGCTTAATTCTTAGAATGGTAAAAAGTAACCTTCTTTTCTTGTGAGAAAATAATTTCTATCTTTACAATAAAGAACGTATCATAAACTTTCTTATATTAGGTGTATAATTTATCATATCTGAAAATAGTAGTAATGGTAACTATCCAAAATTATACTTATAAAACTTTTACTAAAATACTCCACTTAAAACAAAATACCACATGAACATAATACCTAACGGTATCAATGTTGTTAAACTTACGAAGTCTTACAAATCCTTTAATTATTTATTTATCTATCTAATTAAGTTGTGCGCCTCTGACATTAAAACAATGCAACTAGCAATTCACTAGAATTAGATAAATTTAAGAAGAAACGTGATATGTCAAATTTTAGAAATTATATTATTCTTGAAATGTAACCTTCCATTCCAATTTTCTGCTCAATAATACGAAACTACTTTTACTTTCAAACTTAAGAAAGAAACTCTTTATGAAATTAGGTACTAATAGACTTTTGAGTAAAGTATTTATTTTACATTATTTGAGAATTTTTTTTTCAATATTCGCTGAAATATATATATATATATATATATATATATATTACCATAATCGGGATATTCTATTACCTTGAACTTAATCAGACTATAAGCCATAAACTCTACATAATATATTCTCGTAGCTCAAGAAGGCTCGAATATATTCTTCATATTGGTTTTTAAAAATATTCAATTTTGATAAAAAAAATTTAGACATATTGTTGGTGATTCAACACTATAATAATAATTTAAAAAAAAAGAAAACCAAAAGCATTTTTCAAGATTCGTAATAGCATAATATGAGACAGAATCCTCTTTAGAAAAAAAGATGCTTTTCCCAAGAAGCACATTCCTCATTCTCACAAATTCCACGTAAAAAGTAAAAATTACGCAATTAATCAAGCTTTAAGATGAACAAGAATTATGAACAGACAGTAAACTTACAGGATCTCATAATAATAATGTTTTAAATCATCTATAATCTCCCAATAAATATAATTCCTTCGAATTTATGTGGATTTACTATGGCATATCCTAATGCTAAAGTACGGGATGTAACATGGTGTCTCTGATTTTACTGATGGCAAACACGATGTCTTATACTTCGACGTTGAAGTTGTATGCCGACAAGCAAGGTGCCTCTCTCGGCCCTGTGTACCTTTCAGATCCAGCTCTGTTGACGAGTCTCCGAGGATTCCGGCCTCAGTCCGTCATTCAATCGTTGCGGGGTATATTGCGCCTTGGGGCGTTTCTTCCGTCTTCAGGGTATGACTGGTACCTTTGTTTGTTTGGCTTTGGCTCTAGTTGGTCGTCCTCGACCCTGATCTTCGATTGGTATCAGTTGTGGACATCCGACCAGGTCACGGCGGGATACTAGAGTAGGTTCTGTTTCAATTGCTGCGAAGCCACCGAGCTTGGTTCATTTAGAACTTGAGTGAAGGCCTGCACTGCCCGATCATCGGAGACTGGTGGTAGTTCCATTCGTTCCATTTGAAAGCGAGATCCGAACTCTCGCAGCATCTCATTCTCCCTCTCCTTGATCTTGAAGACGTCGCATTTCCTTGTTGCTACATTGATGGCTCCAGCATGTGCCTTTATGAAAGAGTTTGCCAGCATGGGAAATGAGTCTATAGAGTTAGGAGCTAGGTTGTGATACCACATCATGGCCCCTTTCGAGAGTATTTCCCCGAACTTCATTAACATCCTTTAAATCGCTTCACATCACTGCACAAATGTAGGCAGTGACGTGCTAGTTGGGGTCTGAGGTTCTATTGTACTTCGGAAGCTCGGCGTTCTGAACTTCTTGGAATGGATTTTGGGTCCTCTACCTGCGGGAACAGATTTTTCACGAACTTCTTCGAGTCTACCCCTTTTAGAATCGGGGGTGCCCCCGGAATTTTGTCGACCCTGGAATTATTGGTCTCCGCCTTCTTGCCTGTAACATTTCAAAAATAATGTGAAGGCTAAGCTCCCGTTCTTCCCTAGTCGGGGGTTTTTGAGCTTCTTGTTGGTCTCCTTGGTGCACGGTCATGTTGGTGTGGAAGCTTATATCAACGCGTTGCGCATCGCGTACGACCGCATCCACCGGAATTGGTTCTGGTGCATTCCCTTGGTTTCGTGGTGGTACACCAACACCTGGAACATCCACAATGTTCTCTTAGTGGTCCTCAAGATTGTTGTTTTAACCTCCATTTACTGTGTTAGACATTTTAACATGAAATCAACGATCTTGGACAAGAAAAAGCGTGAAAGATAACTTGCGTTGTGTAGCAAAATCAACAAGAAAATAATCACTATTATTTTTAGCCCCACGGTGGGTGCCAAACTATTTACCATAAAAATGGTAATAACAATAAAATTTTATTATGAGGTTCTAAAAATACATGATCTATTTTTATGCTAATTGTTAGGCAGTTGATGCTATGTGATAGACTTAGAAACGAGAAAAGAACTTTGGAGCAAGGTGATAACCAAACCGAATGATTAATAATCGAGGCCTCGAGCTTGCCTATTCGGGGGCCTCGGGGTTAAGTGTGATGCTCGACTGGGAGCTATCGAGGGTGATCGATGAATGACTAACAGTTATAATCAATGACGGCTCTTTATGGCCAATAATAAGCAATAAATGAAGAATAATAAATGGAGAACAATGAATATAAGCAATAAATGGAGCAATGAGATCAAGAGAATATGTTAGAGAGCAGAGATAATGTCCGTGTGTCCTTGGTATTGAGCAACAGATGTTTACAAAATGACAAGGATCCCCTTTATATATGAGGAGGAATCCCAACATCGTACAAATGCTTTAATTACAAGGATATGGGACTGGTACAGCCATTTAATGCATTGATTCGCTTTTCTGGCTAGTCCACTAGACTATGACAACCCTATTTACGCGCCTTGGGGACTCCCCACTTTCTCTCTGTAACCTTCGGTTTGTACTGCTCCGAGGTCGAGCATCGATGACCTTTGAAGCATAAAACTCGATCGTGGTCTCGAGCGTTCAAGACATTCCTACGAGGCGTCGTAACTACGGAAAATGGAAACCTCCGATTTTGCCGTATACACCTTGTTTCGACTATGTGCTCAATTGATTCATGAATCATTTGACTTATGTGACTATATTTTATCTCTTACTCATGTTAATAATTATGCCTAGGCTTATGATCAATTGTGAAGGCATGAGAACTTATTGTTGATATGTTGAATTACGTAATTATCCGTACTCAATAGATATTTCATGACCACATATCTGTAGGATACTTATTGAATCATTGTACATCTTTTATCTGATACTTATTGAATCATTGTACATCTTTTATCTATAAATCTTGAGCATATGAATATATATTTAATTATTTATTAAGGATACCTTATTGGACTGAGGATTTTTGGCACGAAAGGAAAGCGTGCAGATGAGATACAGTTATGGAACATTGGACACCATAGTCAGATATTTAATTATGAGGCGTGCTATTATGCCCCTCTTTGCACTTGGATTTCGATCTGTTCTGCCGGAGATAAACCATCTTAGTTTGGGTCGTGTGAGCGTGATCGGTACATAGAATTGTGCCTAGTCGATACATGAATTTTGTATCGGGTTATATTGATACATGGATTCTATATCACGGCACATGGATCTTGTACCGGTTGGGGCGTGCATTCATACTATTGACACATCCAGTGGTGTACTTACATAACTGTTAATTGGAGTGGACACCCTTATATGCTAGTTCCCGAATCCCTGTCCCGTATTTATTTTATGTCTACTTGGATTTCAGATAACTTGTGATGTATACACACTTATTTCTTTTATTGTAATTGGCTCATATATCTGTACCACCTAGTCTTGGGGATTGTACCGCATTGGCCGTGTTTAAGTCGTGTTATGACTTTATGGGAAATTGCTACTGTTTTAGATTATTACTGTTTTTTTCTTATGCCATATCATTGCTAATTAAAGGAAATGGACTATAACTGTTGATTGTTTGTTGGTTTGCTTATAAAGTTCGGCTAGGCGTCACCATGACCTCGTGATGAGATTTTAGGTTTTGAAACACTAAGTTGGATTGGTTTGCTTATCTGCTACTCAACGAACATATTTAGTGGGATATAAAGATGCTCGCTGAATTATTGTGACGAAATACCATGGACTCGAGGAGTCAATAGAGTTGTCACGTACTTTTCAAAAGATTTGACATATTTAGACGAATGCTTATATGGTGCAAAAAAAAAGTATGTCGATTGAGGTTCATGCGGAATTTGGTAAGACTTGTCAGTTGAGTAATTTGTACCCGATAAGACGAACCTAACGGATTTAGAATTATCACAACAAGAATTGAATAAGGTCAGATTGCATTTAAAAATCCATGACTTAGAATTATCGTGGGTGTTTATGAGTTTCTGCAGATTTTATTTCATCATTAGATGTATTGTGAAGACTTGGATCCTGAGAGCAATTGACCATCGTCGTCCTCCCATATCATCGGTACACGCCGTCCTGAGGTCCATTAACTCTCGTCGAACCTACA